AAAATCAGATGACCTGCTTGGATGAACAGTACCATTTTTGTTGAATGTTTTGAAAATATTTTTATACCAAAAGGTAAATTCAAAATATCAGAATAATTCAGAATAAATTCTTATTATTAATTCAGAATAAATTAAGAATATCAATTAAAAAATTATCACAGAGAAAAGACTCTTTGCTGGTAGACAATGTTAGATCGCATTCTACATGTGATATTCTGAACCAGAAGGACGAATTTATAAAAGTTATGTTTTTGCCACCTAATGTAACTTCAATCGTACAGACACTAGATCAAGGAGTAATTGAGTGCGTCAAACGACTATATAGAAAAGATTTACTTTAAAAACTTCTCTTTACGTTTTAATTGAATGAAGAGGGTGTGATAGAACAATATAAAAAATTCAATTCAAAAGACTGCTTTTACATGGTGGCAAATGCGTGGAGTAACAGTAAAAATACAACATTGAAAAGAGCATGGAGATAACTTTTAATATATGAAATTGAAGAAATTAGTGAACAAGAAAGAACAGTAGAAGCAGATATTGAAGAAGCTGTCACTAAATTGCGTAGAATACCAGGATATGATTGTGAGAGCGATGATGTAATGCAATGGTTTCAGTGCGATAAAGACTACAGTAGTGATGAAGACAACATAAATTTTACACAAATAGAAGCAGCAGACGAAAGTAACGATGAGGATTTGCCTTCTCATGTTGAAACATTTGAGTCATTTAAAAAACGACTCTGATGGTTTGAAGCACAACAGGAAAATAATTGTACGTAGCTACAATTCTACAATAAAAAATTTATGTGATTTAGCTGCTAAAAAGATATGGGACCCTTAAATGCTGAAAGAAAAAATGTCAATTTGTACTTGAGTAAATGAAGTTTAATTCAAGAGAAGTGATTGTTCTATTACCCGAAAATTTCATTATCCATTTTTGTCTCTCTGTTAGTTCGGATACGAAAGTCTCTACTGTATTCGTTACTATTTCAATCGCTTTCACTATAATAGAATTTGTTGCCCGGTGATGATAACACAATATCTATAAGATGCTCCATTTACAATCAGTAGATTGAACTTCGTTTTCGGGTATCATTTCTTTCTTTTTTTAATTCATTGGCTAGAAAGATAAGATTTGGCTTACAGACTTTTCACACAGCGATACTTGTATACACATTGTCTTATGGAGCATTTTGCATGACAATTAAGAATCGACGACAGCCTTTTCTTTCATAGAAATGTTTCTATAATATTTGTACCGGTAATTGTTCGATTTCGTATTGTAATACACGATATGATACATGCAGTCTTTTTCACGCGATATTGTATACGATTCCAATATCGTGCATATCGAGGTCTTCGGTCGTCGGCGATATTTCACGATGTCGATAATGAAAAAAAATTCAGTAATACATAGTATATAGAATCCACGTAGGAGAAGCATAAACACACGCTGAGAACTGCTGTTTCTAAAAGAGAAGGCTGCAGCCTTATGAAAAAAAAAAGAATGAACAATAGAAGAGACTGAACGAGCAATTTTAAGCGAGCTTTCAAACGACTTGGAAGAACTGAACGAATCATTGAACATATGTACATTGATTTTAAAATTATCTTTGCAATAACGCGATATATTAAAACAAATACATCGCATCATTGAATGTGAGATAGCACATAAAGACAGACTTGAGCATTATTAAAACCAAATATATTTGAAAAATCATTGAATAATTTAACATATCTTATATGGTTTGATGTTATTTAGAAATAATTTTGCATTGGTTTATTTGAATAAGAGATGGTTTTCCTTGAAATTATTTTACTATTTTATTATCAAATAAAATAATTTTTTATTTTATTATTTATTATAAATTTATTTTTGGAAATAAATTCCCCATAGTTTCTTTATTCTCTTGAATAAACTACAATTTATACTGCGATTATTTATTACTCTACTTGAAGAAATTAATTTAAATTAAAATGATTTGCAAATCATTTATTTGGTTGGACTATATGAAGTTACTTTTCCTATGTTATTTTTAAAATAAAAATAATGAATTAATGAAAATGTTTCGTTATTTCAAATTTTTATTTAAATTTTTCCAATCCTGCATATGTAAATATGTGAGCCAACAAAATTATATGCTCGGACCGTCGCACCTATTCTTTCTTAGAATAAATATATCTGAAATAAAATTGGAAATAATGAAATAATATTTGAAATAGTAATTAAATATTCTTATTGAAATAAAATTTCATTTGAAAATTTATTTTATTTGATAGCGATACATACAAGTAATAAGTTGAAAATATTTACTTTACACGAATGGGATTTATGAATTGAAATAATAATTATTTAAGACGTATTAGAAATTGTATCAAAGGCGTATTATATTAAAACAATATTTCACGATTCGAAGCTTGCATTGATTATTTTAAATATTATTTTAGAGAGGAAACAAATAAAAATATAAAAAAAAAACAAATATTAATTAATAAAATATATATAGATTTATATATACATAATGAATGTTTGTATCTAATATGCATATTTTTAGTCTCAGTTTTTCGATGAAAAAGATGCATTTATTTAAAAAATAATTTACTATTTATACATGCATAATAGACATATTAGACTTCTCGATACTTAAAATAATTAATATATTCTATAAACATTTTTTGTTAATAGCTTTTTAATAAAAAACGAGTGATGGCTGAAACCTCTTGAATGTCACTGAGGAGAGCGTTCTTGATAGAATATGTGAAGTCTTAATGTCACCTCTAAACATAAGTTTTACCTTTATTAGAAATTTTATAGATGCAAAGTAGTGTATTTCTAGAGATTCAAATAATTTTTCATAAAATATATAAATATATAAATATATAAATAAAAGCTTGTGTACTCAAAAGTGTATTACGAAAACTTTCTATTTTTTTATTTAAATGTTTCTGATTGAAATTTTATGCTTTAATTTTCAGTATTTCTCGTATTAAAGTTACGTACATTACTTTTCAAGGTCTTTACTACCATCATATTTATATTTTACATGCAGTTAAATACAAAATAAACAATGTATTTCCAACGATAAAAAAAGGAAAAAGGTTTTTTCTGTAACAACTAAAATATCGAACACGAAATATTTAGACAGATTGGAGTATCGTAGTAATTTACATCGAAATTGCTTGCGATATAAGAAAATGTCTCAAGGTGAAAAAAGAATGGTAACAAGATTAGATGTTATTATTACAATTGAACGTATATAATATAATGTAAATGTAATGTAAATGTGTGTATATAAAATACACCGATTTTTTGTAATGGAATCGCATTTTTTAATATATCGATAGATACAAAAGAAAAGAAATACATTGACAGTAAATACTGCTTATGTCAAATATATACCTATTGTTTATTCAGGGCATACTGAATAATAAATTAAAAGAACATTAGAAGAATATATCCTAACCTATTTCAGCACAGATACTTTTCTATATACAATAACGAATTGTGTCAATCAACGTATTGCGTTAAAGGTCGTGAAATTATTGTTGTTCCACTTTATTTAAANAACAGAATACAATGCAATCACAAAAATTGAAATCTTGAAATTCAAACTTAAAATTAGTTGGTAATTCAAACTCAAAATTAGATCTGTGGTAATTCTTTTAGACAAATCTCGACCAATCCAGAAATTTAGGATCACGCTATGGTGATCATGATATTGTGATAATTTTGATCATACTCTACATGTATATGTATAATGAATAGCATAACTGAAGTAATAAACATAGATATAATGAACAATTGTCGATATTTTAAACTATTATAACAGTTGTAATTTTGTAAAAAAGAACCATATAACAATTATCTTGACTTAACTTGCTCAAACTTAGATAGAGTTTTACACGAATTTACATTCTCATTTTCTCTACTTTGATAGATCTGAGTTCGTCTTTCTTAAAGACTTCATCGTATAAGTGGGAAAGTGAACATACCTCTATTTTCCAAAATTGTAAAAATTCAAATGTCTTTAATAACAAATTTTTTGTAACCCATTGTTAACTTAAAGATCGATGTTTTCCTTCTGAAATATGGCGTATAATTTTTTTTCACTGATTTTATTGAACTTTGAATGTTCAGACGATTAAATGTCGAAATTTCTTGAATTTTTGTAGCTTAACCTTCAAGATTTTGATGAGTCTAATCATGAAAAAATCTTTTCAATGTTGTTAAAAACGCTTGAGTTTTTACAGTTTTAAATAAAATAGATATTTGAAATAAAATAGATATTTGGATGAGAAAATATCCAACCATTCTTCTCTCACACCAACATCTTAAAAAAAAACAATCTCAGGATTGTGAAAATAGAAATTGTGCTTGCTTCAAAATGAAACCAAATGGATTTTTGTATGATTTTGTTTTACGAAATTATAATAATTTAAAATTTTACCATTATTGATTCAGTTACGCTCTCCACTCTATATTCTTTAATTTAATTTAATGCTTAATTTAACTCGTTTTATATAACCAGTAATTTAATATATTTTGTAAGCATCTTTGTCTTATAAAACTTAATGAGTCCGACTTTCTTTGACGCATTCAGTGTCTGTTATAAACATTACAGTAATTCCATTACAAAGAGAATTATTCTTACAATCTGTAATTCAAAACTCTAAACGACAATTTTACATAATAAATATTTGCGTATTTTTAGTTTTTATAGCAAATTATTTTAATAAATTTGAAAATTAGATAAACTGTCAAGTGGAAGCCAAACTTGCCTGTTTTCTATGTTACTATAAATTTTTAAATTTAGATGACTTTAGAAACCTAAATTATATAGAAAGAATTTGGAGAGAACTTTGATATTTACAATTTATATAGCGTTCCTCCTTATGTAAAGCATGACAGTACTTATTGGTACGTATATCAGGAAGGTAAAAACTGTTAAGAAATACGTCTTAGATAGTTATCATTTCCAAGTTAAGAAAACATGTCTCTTGCCTGTACGTTATCTTCAAATAGTACACGGGCACGAAAAAATACGTACTTTCTCTGAAAACTGGAGTATAAAAATTGCGAATATCGGTTTCCTAACATTAAAAGTAACAACGTGCTCAAACATACAAATCGTGCAATCAATCATCCTCAATAAAAACCAACAATGCAACGATGTCTCGTAGCGTTTCTGCTTGCGGTTGTGTTCATCAATATTTGTAAGTATCCTACTTTGTTTCAGACTATTTGCATTACGACTTAAATTTATTAATTTACTTCATTTAAAACATGCTTCATTCGTGTCAACTCAGACATTGGATTTTTATATTTGTTATAAATTTGCTTATTATATATATATATATATAGACTTAAATTTTATGATGGTTCCGAAGTCTATACGATCGATAGTATGTCATTTAGCAAATCATTTACTATTTGTTCCGATTGAAATATTTATTATGTTCTACTAATATTAAATGGATTGCGAATGTTTACATATTTATGAGAAATTACGGAATGCATATAATACAGAAAAATATAATAAATATATCCAAAGCATAGTGCTTTCTATGATATTTTACATGTAAATAACTTTTTACATCTTTAATTATGTTTTCGAAATATGAATTTGCATAAATGTCCTCAGTCGAATTATAATTATATGAGAGTATTCAAAATAATACATATACATATGCATGCGTGCGCGCGCGCGCGCGCGCGTGTGTGTGTGTAAATATGTGTGTATATATGTCCCTGCGTCGGTAGTACAGGTGAAGAGGAGGTACTACATGAAAGTCGATAATAAAGAATAAAATTTTTTCATTTGAGGCTTTGTTTTTAAGTAAATTGATTTTGAATATTTTCCGAATACGCGTGCAATTAACGACGGCGTACATGAATAAATCTTGATGCAGATGACACGTTATTTACAAACAGCATTAATATCATTCGTAATGTTGTTTAGTTATTAATTTTTAGTTATTAACTTCTGTTTATTTAAAATGTGTTTAGAAATGATTTTCGACTAATTTTTTCATGTATTGTAATCACCTCTTCGCTTATACTACTGACGCAGGGACATCCATATACGCCGTCGTTAAATACATGCTTACTTGAAGAATGTTCAAAGTCGATTTACTCGAAAACAAAGAAGAAATTTTATTCTTTATTTTTAACTTATTTTTTCATGTACAATCATCTTTACTTCACTTGTGAAGTGATATTTGAAGTAATATTTATCGACGCAGGGGCACCTTGTACATATATATGTATTCTATTTATTAGATTTACTTACAATTAGATTGTACATATGTATACGTTATATGTATATTGTTATGCAAAATATTTATTACTCTTAGAATATTCTGTTTCGTAATGCAATTTTTACTTTATGATTTTTATAAATGTTCGTGTTAAATTAGGTTCGCTCACACCAATATGTCCAGTAAATGAAGAATGAAACATTTGTGGGCAATTCTGTGAACCAGCTTGTGGTCCTCTAGCTACGCCTTCAATAATTTGCCACGAAATAGTGAGTATTCGAAATTATTTTGAGTTGTTCTCATTTACTTAGCATTCAGATACGTGTCCAATTGAGAGTATATTTCGAAAGTTATTTCTTTCAAAAGATATTACTCTCAAACATTTATTCGAAGAGGCTGTATATCTTAAAAATTTACACGAAGAAGCAAAATGTAGGAAATTGGTAGGAAATTCAAGTGTATTAAATCGCAATAAAGTTATTTCTGTTTCTATAATAATAATATCATCAATTTACATACATTTTTTAAAATATTTATGGAATTACTATAATCCAATGATTTTCTTTTCTTTTCAATTGAATTCGATTTATTACCAACACACTTGATTTATATCGTTGAATTATATTTTACATATATTTAAAACAATTTAAAACTGTCTAAATATTGACGTTTGATAGTACATATCGTAACATACCATTTTATTTCATTGGTATTGAAGGAAAAGATTATAGAAAACAATAATACAGTCAGGATAACACTAAAAGACAAGAATATATATCAAAAAACACTGAAAGACATATTTGTTATTATACATATGATGTTATTATATATATTTCATATTTAGTACATAAAAATATTTTCTTGTCTCATTGTATATCACAGAAGTTTAAGATATTATGAATATATTGTGAAATATAAAATATAGATATAATTCACTTTCGAGTGTGAAATTTTTGCTTTTATACATACAAAAGCGAAAAATTTGGGCGCGCGAACGGAACGCAATTTGGTTAAGAAAAATAAATAAGAGAAACTATAAAAATAATAACAGAAGAATACCTCCGATTCACTGAATTAGCTTACGTATTTGACACTAATATAAATCTTTCCAGATCTGCAATAAGAATTTGATCGGTGGTTGTCGGTGTATCAATGGAACTTTCAGAAATCAAGACAATGTTTGTGTACTGCCATTGTTAACTTATGATCAATAGATTTAATCATAGATGGAATGATTTTTTAATCATAAATAAATTTCTATCAATAAAGAATTTTATCAATAAAGAATTTTCCATATTTAAATAGATTTATTTTAATGTCCCTACCAGATCACATCGAAGCGAATTTTTCGTACAATCGAAACCATTTTTTTCATTGACATTACTTAATGGAACATCGACATTGAACGAAACAGTTACACAGTTAGATTGCGAATTATGTATTCTTTCATAAATTCTGACACACTCAGAAATCTTGATAACACTTGGGAACTTCTTCCGACCCTATGTATTTCCTCAGATTTCCGACAATTTGAGGATTTGTCACACCTCTACCATTCGAATACCTGCAATTGTATAATGTGACAAAAGTGATTGTTGAGTTATCCGAAAATTTCATTAATCGAATACTTTTCTTAATTTCCAAATTTACTATTCATTCATATAAAACTATAAACGTATAAATCTAACATTTTTTCAAACACTTCAAAGGAATACACGAAATTTCGTGGACATTTTTTGTATAAAGTAAAAATGAAGGAAGTATTCTCTGCAGAACTTTTATTGGAACTTGTCCTTACAATTATTAAATTACGTCAAAATGAACCAAGAGTCACGATATCGTTTCTACATAAAGGTAATAAATTGGTAATGTGGAATTATAAAAGGATATATTGAAAATTAAATCCTAATACACAAAAAATAATTTTGCAAATATTTCTTTTATTTTTAATGTACAATTTGATATCAGTTTAAATTATAAATTTGATCTTTTGGTATTTGATTTGTATAAATATAAATATTTAATAAATATTTAAACAAACTTGAATTTGATTTTATTGTTTTATATCTACCTAAATGTGCATTGAATAAAACAATGTATATATATATTTTCGACCTGTAATATGATAAGAAAACGAACGTCCGATATTCGAAAGAATGTCCGTTAGTTTTTACAAAATTCAAAACAATTGTTTTTTTCAGTATCTCTTATTTTATATTATAAATAGAGATTATACAGTAGAAATTTCGTGAGGTTGTATATTCATGTCGCGATTCTATAAATAAGAGAAAGTTTCGGCTTTGAATCTCTTGATTTTGATACATACGATATTTTTTGAGATAATTTTTCAATTATAGATCATACAAAATCATGTCGATGTAATTTCGAACTTTTAATTGCAATTTGGATTTGAAATTTAAATATTTTTTAATAATGTATAAAATAGTATAGCACAGACCAATAATAGGACCTAAAATGAAAGCTGTTATGTTAAGCCAAGTGAAAAAAATGATTAATTCGTAAAACATTTTCTGTGAAAGTGTTTTTAAAGTCAAGCTACAAATTTAAACTGCAGTGTTCAAAAGATTGAGAAATGTTGATATATGATATTAATAGTATAATACATATTACAGTTTAATAGTAGAAGAAATGCAACATATTTCGAGCTTTTTTTATAGCTTTTTTTTCTGAAAAATTATTACAATGAATGGAAACAAAAACAACTCGTCGTGTTACTTCAAATGTCGGATTTATGTTCCTCAAACGCTCAAAATTCGTTGACTTTTTCGATTGCTATTCTTTGGGGATTATTTGATATCTTCGGAATGCTTATTATATTCTGAATTTAGAAAAGGTCATTTTTAATGAATTGATATTAATCTACATTGACATAGATCGATTATCATTCTTCTTCATGACAATTCAAAACCTGGTACTTCACAAACTATTGTATAGAAACTTCCAGGCAGAAAGTTAGATAACGAAATTCTCACTCTCTATTTCCTAGATCTATCTCTAACAGGTTTTCATCTTTTCAGAAATTTGGAATTATTATTTTTGTGTCAGAAAATGTTCAAAAACACTCTCCACAATTCAGAATTTAAAAAAAGAATCGAGAATGTTTCGAAAAGCTTAGCTTTTCACTAGAATCCAATTGCGTAACGAGTGGTTTAAACACCGAGTGGACGTTTACAATTGAATATTCATTACGCATAAGCGATTGAGAAAATGCTCTGAAGGAATTGAAGTGTGTTGATGCGTGCGAACATAGAGGAAGAATGGATTTGTTTTTTGGGTAATGGAAGGAAGTGGATAAGGTGAGGAAAGGTTGTGGCGTTTCGTCTCAGAGACCTTTCCACACCTTGCCTAGACTCATCAGTGGGGCTGATGGCAGTGACCCCTTATCCCAGACGCTTATTCTTATAACTTACTCGCTAGGCTGAATGGTCTCTCACCCATCTTAGCGGTGGTGTTCTGCACTCTGTTTACTTAACATCGAAGATCGCTAGACTTCAACGCCACTTGCATAAAACTATCTGCGCTGTGGACAAGGTAGTTGCATTGGCATTCTCGCCTAGACCTTCACAGGGTGCGGACGTACCCTGCGATACCTGAGAGTTCGAGACAAGCATACCTTTGGTGAGCGAATAGCGTAGTGCGTACAAATGCAAAAAAGCATTAATAAAAAACAATATAAAGAGGAAAAAATAGAATAGTGCAAACGAGTTCACCGCAGTGCCAAAAAAAAAAAAAAAAAAAAAAAAAAAAAAAAAAGAGAAACAATCCAGAACGGAAATCTACAGGGTAAAGTCCCTCGGGGACATCCCCGAAGAACAAAGGACGAAAAAAAATGACATCAACGAAAACAAATCAATAGAGACAAGAAGCAATTCAATCTCAAATTACGCCAAATCATATGATACAGAACTAGAAAAAGAAATACGACAAATACTAAACCAAAATAAATTCAACAAAAGGCTAAACCCAACACCGACAATCATATCATCAAAGAAAAAAATGAAACAGGAAACAGAAACACCAAAGAACAAGGAACACCAAATACAAAACCCCTAACATACGAAGAACTAATTCAACAAAATGACAAACTCAGTCGGATAATAGAAAAGTTGCAAAAACGACTAGAAGAATTCACGACCAAACCGAAACGTAGCCAAGAAAACCTCCAATCAAAAAATGAAACAGCAGAAATGGATATAATACAAGAGGAAAAAGAAGAGGACAACCAATCATGGGTCACAGTTCCAGCATCCAGAAAACGCGAAAATAAACAAACAAAGCCGAACGACAACCGACCACAAGCGTCAAAAAAGCGGGAAACCACCGCCAAAAAACCAGCCGTATCGTTATCACCACCCCAGTCACCAAAACAGCCAGCGACCAACAATACAGGTAATCAACCACAAGCACAATCTATAGCCTAATCACAGACACAACCCGTTACACTATCAAACAATACCACAAGCAACAACAAACAGACTAAACCCCCACCAATAATTCTCCACGAAAACACAGTAGGATAGACAATAAGTATACTCGATAAAAAAATGAAAAATTTTTATATAAAACGAATAAACAACAACAAAAGAATATTACAAACAGAAACACTAAATAACCACAAAACAGCTTGCGAAATACTCAAGCTAAATAAAATACAGTACTTCACATACACACCAAGGACAGAAAAAAGTTAGACAATACTGCTGAAGGACCTGGAAGGCGATTTCGACACAGAAATCGTCCTCCAAGAGCTAAATAAAAAAAAATCGACGACATAAAATTCTTGTCAGTAAAAAAGTTCTCCATAAGAAAGTCGAAAGCAGAAAACAGATCCCTATCGATATATATAGTACAAATCTCGCCAGACAGTAACACAAATAAAACAAATAAAACAAATAAAACAAATAAAACAAATAAAACAAATAAAACAAATAAAACAAATAAAACAAATAAAAACAAGTAAAACAAATAAAAACAATATTTCACCTATATAAAATGGGAGAAAATAGCAAAAAAAGATCGTATACAATGCATGAGGTGTCAACGAATTGGACACATAGCCGCAAAATTGCAACTTGGAGTATCGTTGCGTAAAATGCAACATCCCCCACAACCCAGGAGAATGCCCGCGCAACAGGGAACTCCAACCGGACACACAACCATACTGCACCAATTGCAAAAGTTTCAGACACCCTGCCTCATACAGAGGATGCCCGAAACTTAACGAACTCAAATTGAAAATAGAAGAAAAAAAGCAGCCCTAAGAGCGCAAAAAGAGAAAAAACACGAAATAAAAAATAATTTTATAAAACAAGGAATTTCATTCAGCGAAATAGTAACAGGAAATAGAGCAACAAACGAAGAAAAACACGAAGAAACAGTTACTAACACCATACCAACACAACGAAACCAGAACACACTAATAGAACAAATAAAAACAGTCATAGAAAACCAAATGGCACGACTTCTAGAACAAGTAGAAGTCAACTCCAACAAAATCACCGTCTTAGCAGAATCAGTAGACATCCAGTTTTAAATGAACAGAAACAAGACAATCCATCACAGACAAAAAAAGTAGCATTACAAGGGCTAAATATCTTACAAATCAATGTAAATTCGATAATATCAAACGAAAAAAGAGCCTCGCTAACAAAAAATACTTCTAGAAAAACACACACCAGAAGTGGTGCTTATTGGTGAAACGAAGATAAACAGTAAACACAAAGTACAATTCAAAAACTACACATTCATCAGAAATAACAGACCAAATGCCAAACAGGGTGGGGGCATATTAATAAAAAACAATATCAAATTCAGAAACATCCAAATAGACCATTCAGCAAACCTACCACTCGAGACAACCATCATAAAACTAAAACTGCAAAACGATAACAACTTATTCATAATATCAGCATACGCCACAAGCAGCGGCAAAAACGATATCGCCGCGGAATTGAACAAAATTTTTAAAGCCTTAGAACTACACAGAAACAACAATTATTTCCTCCTGGCAGGCGACCTCAACGCAAAACACAGCGCATGGAACAACCCCACAAACAACTACAGAGGAATAACTATACAAATGGCTCAATACAAACGAAATAACCTATAGACTCACATTACTACACTCAGAAGTTCCATCATACCCGAAAAGCGGATCATTCCTCGACATATGTATAGCAGACAACAGACTACATTTCCACAACCTAACAACACAGAAAAAACTCAAATCTTTCAAAT